AGAGTATGGATAATGTGAGAGGCAGAATAGGCGGTGATACTGTGATAAGGTATGTTTTGCTAGTGATCATGACAGTGCATTTTGGTTGGCTAATTCTGGACGAAGTTATTTTGTTGTTTCGAGAAGGTTGAATCAGGTAGGAGATATATGGTTTGCATCTTTGTAAAGCCTGTCATGGACCTTTTCTTGTCACTTGTCATTCATTCCCTGACTGAATGATCTGTTTTCTTCACTTTTGTTCTGCTTGGAAAAGCCTCTTAAGAATGGAAGAACTAGTTCTTATAATGTAGTCTAATGTGACTTAGAAACAAGAGTAATGCCAATAACTTTATCTGCTAATGTTATGCATTAATTTTCATGGCAACACATGCTGTTCTAGTTCCACAGTCTTTTATAAGATGACATCCCTTGTACCATTTTCAACTTTTGATTACATCCCATTGCCAAATAAGGCATGGCCCAAGAAATTCCAGCCAAAACCCGAGAAGGTAATACCAATTTCAGCTACCACTTCGGTGGATAAGCAGACCAGCATGGCAGGGACAATTTACTTAGATGATCGCTTGATCAAAATCATATTATGAGACGCACTCCAAATAATCAATGATATCTTAATGGGTGCTTTGACATTACATTTTTATTTCCATGAAAGCAGTTACCGTCCTCACTCTTAAGAAAATGATTCTGTTTTGATGTTGCTTGCATCATTGTAATGGTGGGTCAGTAAACCACTTCTTGCTACAATATCTTGTTTGTGTATGGCTGATTACTTTTGTCCTACTATAAGTGGTAGTATCATCTATAAGTCATTTGTGGGTTCTGTCCCATAATGAAGTCCATACTCCATGGTTCTATATTACCTTTATCTTTTAGCATGCGATTTGTGATGATAAATTGATCTTTTGATTACACTTCTCATAGCATAATACTTCTAGTTTATATGCAGTGACTCTGGGGAACTCTATGCAAAGAAACTGTCTAACTTCGTCGAGAAGCGACTGAAGTCTGAAAGAGCAGCTTCCGTAAGCTTCAGTGACATGCATAATAAGTGTTCCATCTTGCACAATCTATATCAAATCTAATTTTTGGGTTAAACATTTAATCTCCCAAAGAATCTAAATTTGATGATGGATTCATATCATCAATGAATTCCTTTGTTTGGTCAAAAAGGAAAAGTTAGCTTGCGAATGAGGTCTCATGTAAATTTGTTTGACGTCAAAACTGATGGCAGTGCCAATCCTGTCACTGGCTAAAATTGGCTTTCCTCTATCCTTTGTTCATACTTCAGTGAATAAAGTCAAATTACTACCTTGGTTGTACTTTGAAAGAAGTGAACTTTTTTGAGGTCATCCTTTCATTTGTATACTTTTTTGGGGTGTATATGGTGGTTGCTATTGTGTTCTTATCATGATATTCTTTGGACCAGATATGGACAAGCACTCTGCAGAGAAGTATCCTGACTGCTAGTCCAATTATTGGGTTCCCCAAGGTTTGTGATTTTATGGGTGCGGTCCTCCATGCTTTCTTCATACGTTGTCAAGGTTTCTAATTAGTGACGGAAGTTCTCTACTACTGCAGATACAGTGGCGTGCGCTGGACGAAATAAATGCTGGAGTATGTGATGGAATGACTTATGAAGAGATAAAGAAAAATATGCCCGAGGAATATGAGTATGTTGCAGTTTCATTTTCCCGCTGATGTACTTCATTCTCTTTTCTTGTTTGTGGAATCCTTTACGAGACGACATATATAATACAAAATCTTATGTCCTCTTGCTACAATACAGGGCACGTAAGAAAGACAAGCTGAGATATAGATATCCTCGCGGAGAATCTTATCTGGATGTTATTCAAAGGTTTACAGTCTATGAACTTACCTAATCATGGATTCAATAAATATTTGAAGTTATAGGGGGTCTCTGATGCATCATCTGGGCGCAGAAGTAACTCTTCCTCTTGCTGATACAAATAACTTTTGCAGGCTAGAGCCGGTGATTATTGAGCTTGAAAGACAGAGAGGACCCGTGGTAGTCATCTCTCATCAGGTTATACTCGTGTCGCTGAAGTTGAGATTTTTTGCTTGCCAAGTGGTGGTCAGAAGATAATTCATTGCTTTATTTGCAGGCTGTGTTGAGGGCATTATATGCTTATTTTGCGGACAGGCCTCTGAAGGAAATCCCACATATTGAGGTAAAGCTCATTTTCTTGGAAGCTAATTTCGTCTTCAGTGGCATGCCATCAAGTTGGGACTGCACGTATGTTCTAGTGCAGGGATAAAAAATGTGATTGTTTCTTAAAATGAAGGATGTATGCATCTGTATGGTTAATTGCTATAGCAATTCCAGGAGAGACTTTGCTAAATGCTCTTGCTATTCAGTTTAAAAGAGTTTTGGTAAAGGTGGGAAGTTTAACATCAATTGAAGCGATTGGTTTATGCTCATGGACTTTTTGGTGGATCTTTTGGTAATCTGTTTCGGTGTTCAGTTGAGACAGTAAAATCTTAGCTTAGGCCACGTAATGTGTTCATTTCAATGTGTTCTTTGCATAACTCCTCATTAATAGCATCGGCCATTCTTTCTTCAGGTGCCGCTCCACACAATTATAGAGATACAAATGGGAGTCTCGGGGGTCCAGGAGAAGAGATACAAGCTGATGGACTAGTTAGGTTAGGTCACTTGTTCTTTTCGGCTAGTTTCTGTAACCATGGTGATACTGAGGAACTTTTCCATTTCCAATTATTCTCATGCCAATTCATCAACAAAATGCAAACTCTTGCATAAGTCCATTGTTAATCAATCGAAATCAATGCCTTAAATGTACATGCAATGAATTACACGTAACCCTAGATGGCAAATCCATCAGTGGTGGATTCATGTTCAACAAATCGAATAAAGATCAGCTACTGCCTTTGCAAAAGCCATTCAAGTTCCCCACTCTGAAACTTTCATCCAGGCTAACTGAGTTTCTCAAATTGCTCGAGGAGATTTATGCTCCAAACCCCTTGCGGACTACAGGGTTTAAAACCCGGCGTGTTAATCTCCGCCTGTGTTTAAACTCACAAGCGGGCATGCTGGGATGATCCAATTTGATGTGCAGTAAGAAAAAAAAGTGTAACGGTATCTGAAATTGAAAGGGAAAGGGCGAGGGAGGCAGAGACAAAGAACAGAATGCTACAAGCCTACAAGTAGAGGAGTGCCCGCCCTGATCCGATTCCTGAAAGCCTGAAATGGTCAAAGCTCAGAGATGGGACGATCACGAGCACTCCACTCCACTCCACCAGTACTATTACTACTACTACGAGCCATCTCTTTATACATATCTTATCTTTTTATTTTGCCCATAAATCATTCACATCGTGTCGCAAGCCCAAAGCGTAAAGGCACACAGCACAAGAGGTGGTAGTTGTGCCCTGCCATTGAAGCAGTCAGAAGAAAAAGTTAGACAGATAAAAAGGCTTTTTGGGTGTTTCTGGCTAGATTCACATGGGACCCCTGAAGAGGGAGTTCGACTCCCCTGAGCTTTTTGGGTTTGCTTGCTTGCTGCTCTTGCCATGGCATATTCTTGCCTTACTTGACCATACTCCTGAGGTAATTCTTACTGTGGTTTGAAATTGCAAGTGTGGTTTACTCCGAAGACGCGAATTTTTAACAAATCTAGGTGTGTATTTCTATTGCTCGGAAGTTAAGTGGATGATTTATGTGTGGATTTTATTCGAATCTCATGTTTCATGCGGTTAGCATTTGCGAAAGAAATTGGTTTGAACAGATTTCAATCAACCTTACTGTATAAATCCCTCGCTGCAGCCAACCCCGCCCTTACCTTCGACTATTGGTTGAAACCGAGCTTCAAGCACGCCCCGAGGCTAGGAATGCGCATGTAGCACGGGTCGTCGGATCTGAAAGACTAGCACACCTAATACCATGCCATCGCGTCCCCATCGACTTACCGAAGACAACCGATAAGATAAGATAAAAGAAAAACACGACCGTCCAATCCTCAACGACGCCAACTTTGTATAAGGGGTCAGAATTGCTGAATCAAAGGATGGACTCAGAGACATTGTACCCTAATTATAATATGGTTGGGTTCGAGTGTTTGTTTTTTGGCCTCGGGATCCCTTACCTGCAACACACCAGCAAAAACATTAAACAAAACCACATGCCTCTTTGCTTTCTTGCCGTCCCCTTCACGCCCTTATTTTCCTCTCTCTCGGGCGTGTCTCGGACGTTGAGTCTCTCCTTTTGACTTCTCGAGTCCGCACACTCATGCACCATCCTCTCCAAAGCCTTATACCCTAATTATAATATGGTTGGGTTCGAGTGTTTGTTTTTTGGCCTCGATCCCTTACCTGCAACACACCAGCAAAAACATTAAACAAAACCACATGCCTCTTTGCTTTCTTTGCCGTCCCCTTCACGCCCTTAATTATTTTCCTCTCTCTCGGGCGTGTCTCGGACGATGAGTCTCTCCTTTTGACTTCTCGAGTCCGCACACTCATGCACCATCCTCTCCTCTCCTCTCCTCCCATTAAATCTCGAGCCTCCCTTTGCCAACGGTTGCGCCATTTCGTGTCCCCCCCCGAATGGCATAACATAACCCTACTCAAGCCATCTCACTCGCAGGCCATGTTCCTCGACGAAAGAGAATACCCTCTGAAAATTTTACATTCCGATAATTTCGAGGTCCAGACGAGGACCGAGATGGAGCCTTCGAACGACCTACTTAGGTCTAATCGAGAGCATATCTCAAATGGCCGATTCTGTTTACCATCTGTATCAGTTGCATGATTATATCTATCGAGCCCTTCAAACGGTGCGAACCCCAATCAGATCTTGATGTCCATAACGTAACATAAGTCGGTAGGTTCGTTGTCGACGTCGTTGGATGGTGCCAGAAATGTACGTAGGCGGGTGTCACGAAATCGACCGACAAAGCGGGTCGGGACGGATCCTAATTGAAGATTGAATACTATAAGAATCACTTCCTTACATAAATTGATTTGGTGAATCGGTCGGTAATTCTCGAAATTGATTACGAGAAAGAAACAAAAAAAAAGGTCCAAGGGGCAAGGCGACACCTACTTCATTTTCACGTAAGTGTTCTCTTCCCCACACTCTCTCTCACACCAGTCATTAGTAGCCGTAGAAGATTCCGACGTTATCTTCTTTTTTTGTAGTCCTCCCCCTCCTCCTCATCCATCGCTCTCTATCTGAACACCATGATGAGCTTTTCGAGCACATCCCCGGCCGACCCCTCCGCCGCGGCGGCGAGCCGGAGCGGGAGCGGGAGCCGCCTCGCGAACACCGTCTTCTCCTACGACGGCAATGTCATGCTCGCCGCCATCATCTCCCTCCTCCTCGTCATCCTCTTCGTCCTCCTCCTCCACTTCTACGCCAAGTGCTTCCTCTCATCCTCCTCCCACCGCCGCCGACAACGACGGCTCCGCCCCCCTCCTTCCTCCGCCGTCCTCTCCGCCCGCGACGCCGACCTCCCCTCGCCATCCCCGCCTCGCCCCGCGTCCAAGGGCCTCGACCCCTCCACCATCTCGTCCATCCCTTTCTTCGTCGCGCGGCCCGGCGGCGGCGGCGGCGGGGAGAAGGACGAGGAGTGCGTCGTCTGCCTGGGCGGCTTCGAGGAGAACGACGTCGGCCGGAGGCTGCCGGAATGCGGGCACGGCTTCCACGTGGACTGCATCGACACGTGGCTCCGCTCCCGCGCGAGCTGCCCCATCTGCCGAGAGCCAGTCGTCGCTGATACTCGCAAGGAGACGGAGAACAAGAACAAGCTCGCGGCGGCGGCGGAGGATGCCAATTCGGACGGCTCGGCGCAAGAAGGCGGGGACGCAACGGTTCAAGAAGAGACGGGTTCGGGTCTGACCGAGATTGCGATCGACATTGTCCACGACGGCGGCGGCGGCAACGACGACGACGACGACGACGACGTCGGGGGCAGCCCGTCGTCCTTGCAGTTACAGCCGTCGTCGTCGTCGTCGGCCGCCCGATCCCAGCAACCGGCGACGACCCTCGGCGGTTCTCTGAAGAGAATGCTGAGCAGGAACAGAGCAGAGAGCAAGATTCACCCGTCGTCAGCACCGTCGCCGTCGTCGGTCAACATCAACGAACCGGAACCAAACGCTTCGTGTTAACGTTCATTCAGCAATTCGACACGACGAGATCCCTTTTAGTCCCTCCGAAAAGATGTCCAAGACCCCACGATCCAATCACGCTTTCTTGCTCGATCCCACTCTCGAGGCCGGACCGAACTTCAAGTTTTTCAACGGCATCATGTTCGTCTCTGCAGATGAAGCAGTTCAGGTTTGACTCGACACTCGACAGCCGTGGAAAACCAGAGGTTTAGGAGGGACGTTAGGTGAGTTTCTTGCATTAATTTAAGGAGGAAACCGGAAACCCACGACCCCAGGAGGCCATGATCGTGAAGTCATACGTTAGGCTGTAATCATTTTTCATTTTCGAGTAAATTAAGGGTTCGGTTGAACGGAGCATCGTATACGATTGGCGTTTGTGTGCATTGCATGATGGAAGTCAATTTTGTCTTTATCAATGCGGTCGCTGTTGGGTACGTCCATCCTGTGCTAGGACTGATTGCTGAGAAGGACAAGAGAGCTCTGCTGATGAATTTGTACACCTTTTCGCTTGCTTTTTTTAAAAAGATTTTTGGGCGTTCGATTTCCAGGTTTTGGGGTCAATGTTTTGCTGACGGTCAAAAGAAAAAAGGAACAGGGGAGGAGGAAGGTGGAAGATGATGGCCTACGGCTACGTCTCTCCATTGATTCCTGCCTGCAACGCCTCATTCAATGCATTAACTTGCGGTACATGCCTGTTCTCATTAGACTTTAGGGCCAATCTAGGCTTTTTTCCAAGGCCTTCTCTCTAGCTAGACAAATGCGCCAAATGCGCCTGGCTTCTCCTAATAAAGTTGCTTCTTTTCTGGGGTCAAAGATTAGGGGGAATGGTGAGGTTGTGTTTGAGGCTCTATCTAGCCCAAATACTGATAGGGCTAGGATGTCTGAACACGTACGACCACGTGAAACTCACGTGATCGAACGAACTGTGGTGTGTAATGAGCTTTCTTATGTGGACCGGGTCCGTCCAACACTGGCTCTACTTCGAAAGCACCGATGCTATCTCTTCTGAGTACAATAATTCACCTAAAATGCGACGTGTATTCAGGATGAGCAAACCAAACGTTACATGAAAGAGATGTCCTCGTACATTCTACTATCTTTTGGCGGTACTGGGGAAATTAGCAACCCATTAATCTCCATCAACTATGGCATTTCCCATCCTAGCCATATCGAGTGATCATTAGGTCATACGCTGTGATGCTTGAAGTAGGGGTGTCAATGGGTCGGGTCGGATTTCTACGATACCCGACCCGACCCAAAATCACAAGGGACACATGCTCTCTCTGATCTGGCCATGCCCAAAACGCATAGAACCCAAAGCGAAAGTCCGGGTCGGGCCTGGCCGAGTTTTCGGTTTTTTTTTGTTGTGGGTAAACCTATAAATCAGTACAAAGTGGGTGTGGACCCCGAATAGCCATAGTAAAAATTGCAAGCTGCTTATAATTTTTGTCAAGCTGGCTGTATAAGGTAAAAAATAGGAAAAAGATAGCATACTTAAATTTCTTATCAAGATTGACATATCCAAACTCGATGACAAAACAGGTGGGTTCTAACTTGAATTGCGAAATACACAAAGTTAGACACTCATGAAATGGGCTATTGGATGTCATCAGATAAATCCTCTTCATAACAGAGATCCGGATACACGTAACTAGGACAATCGGAAGATATCTGCAAGAACATCAGGACCTTTAGTCTTAAAAAAGCTCATTTCAACAAATTTCTACGTAATCATATCTCACAAGCCATTACAAAAGAAAGAAGTTTATTAGAGATCAAAATTTATCTCACATCTCTACTAAAGATTAGAGAACGGTGGTCCTTGCTTATAACAGTGTGCAGCACACTCCTGTAAAATCAGGTTTAATTTTCCTCGCTTTACAACAGGCTCCTGGAAGCAAGTCCATGAGATTCAAGCATGCATATCAGAATTTAACAACATTTCTCAGAATTCAAACTATATAATTAAATTGAGACTTGGGAAGACCTCCAACAACAAGTCAGAACGTGTCATCTGTTGCAATGAATCATCCCTAAATATCATGGTCAAGTGCTTAGGACACCCTCAACTATTTTCTTTTGCTACATCTCAAAGAGTCAACATCGAATTAAATTGCATTAGCAGTCATCCGGAATAATCAACTAACATATGCACAGAAGCCCACCACATATTACACCTTTTTCACATATGAATATATAATGCTTATCATATCATGCTCAAAACTGCTAACAAAACACTCTTAAGAGGTCCTCCTCAAGTTACTAAAAGATTTTCAGAGCAATGCACGTGTCTCAGAGTTTAAAAACCCTACCTGTCCCTGTTCCATAAGAAACATCTAGTTTTTTCAATTTTGCTCTCCACATTTGCATATTGACCATGAGTAAACCAAAAAGCCCTTGAAGGTCTCCAATCTGCAAATTGGGAGTTAGATAAACAATGAATAACACTTAGGAAGTGAATATCTACAAAAAGAATCCTAGCACATCTTTTGCATTATAAAGCATCCAAGTTGGACGACGAAGAAACCATTTATGAGCTACAGCTTTTCAACTTGTTTGACTACACTAGTAGTAAAAGGCAAGATAAACAAACTTGCAACTAGGACCGGTTGCAGGAAAACAATGTTAGAAACCATCATAATCAAAGTATAACAAAAAGATATTATTGAATACAGAGACCATCAGAATCAAAGTGGATAAGATAGGACTAAAACACTACCTTGCAAATCCTGGCCGGGCTGGGTCGGGTCGGTCCGGTTTGGGTCGGGCCGGGCTTTATTGACAGCCCTAGCCTGAAGTGGTAACAAGGTGCTGGCAAACATTCATTTTCTGCAAAACAAACAGATCTTTTATATTGTCAACGTTTTCATGCTCATGTTGTTACTTATTGTAGTTTCGAGATACTTACTTAATTTGGATACTAAAATGTAATATCAAGAGCAGATGGAATTTAAAAAACTAAGGCTCCGTTCGTTTCACGGAAAATGTGACATTTCTGAAAAATGTTTTCTAGGAAGTCATTTTCCAAGAAAATAACAATATTTTCCGGTGTTCGTATGAAACCTGAAAATAAACTGAAAAATATTTTCCACTGTTTGGTATAGAAAATATTTTCCTTCATGCACTACTTTTAATAATTTTGTATTTTGTATTTTATTTGTATTATTTTTATTTTTTAAAAATCAAATTTTTATTTATTTTTATTTTTGAAATTTTAAATATATCTTTTCTTTTCTTTTTTTCCCTTTCTTTCTTCCTCTGCCGGTCGTCGGCCACGGCGATAGTCAACGACCGGCCACAGGCGAGGCTCGGCCTTGCTTGCCCAAGGCCGGCAAGGCTCGTCGTGGCCGACAACCGACCTCGGGCGAGGCCTCGCCTCGCCTCGCCCGATCGCCAAGGCTCGGCCTTGCCTCGTCTATCTCGAGCTCGGCGACTATCGCCGAATACGGTGAGGCAAAGAGGTTCGGCCTCGCCATCAACTCGCGAGCTCGCCAAATCTGGGGAATTACTTCTACGTGGGACGAGACGAAGGACGAGAGGACGCGTGAGGCAGTAGTGGAGGAGAAGCAGACGAAGCGTGGGGCAACAACAGGGGAGCAGATGGTTGCGTGAGAATGACGGGGAAAAGGAGCAATTCAGGAGAGAAGAGGAGAGGATGCGTGAGAAAGAGGGGAGATTGGAAAATGTTTTCCTTCCTTTGAGGAAAGCAAATCATTTTCCTCAATTTTGGAAGGGTATTTTCCATTGACCGGAAAATATTTTCTTTGACTACCTAATTTCCGTCCCCCGAACACCGGAAATTATGAAAAATGTTTTCCAGGAAAATATTTTTTGCGAAACGAACAGAGCCTAAAAGGAAAGATAAACGAACGGTTCAATGCGGTTAGGAACGGAATCGAACCTCGTAACGCACTATGGTTTGGCTCGGTTTCAGCATACCAAATGATTTGGTTTGGTTTGGCTTTTCAACAAACTAATATCATTACTTGGTTCGGTTCGGTTCAACCTCGAAAATAACGAGGCCAAACAACCCGGCAGCACTTAATATCCGAAGGAAAATGCCCGAACGTCGTATAGCGACGTGAATCCCACAAAATTTCAGACGAGTGCCGCCGCCGCCGCCGTCACCATTTGACAAAAAAGAAAACATAACCAGGAAAGAAGGGCAGCTTCTGCTGCTGGGTCACATGTGATGGACCCTAACATGGGTGGCAAAAACTATATAACAGTTTAATTAATGCTTTCTCCTCCTTTCATTTCATGGGTGGGGGGACTTTCGAGTGATTGAAATGCGACCAAAGAGTTCAGTAACGGCCGGAGCTCAGATCTGGCTGAAGCTCCTCCGTCAACGTTGATCCCCTCCAAAAGAGGACAAAAAAAAAGGAGATAAAAAGATGGTCCCGGCGGGGCTCGAACCCGCGACCTTCGGCTCATAAGACCAACGCTCTAACCAACTGAGCTACGGGACCATTGTGACTGCACCTCCCATTTCATTAATGCATAACTGACGTTGTTCTCCCTCCCTCTCTCCCCCAACACCCTGCTGTCTGAATGTTCCACGCTGTAACTGCGGTTAAGAGCCCCATTCCAGGTTCTCTTGCTCTTTTGATTCTTGAACGTGAAAATGGGGTGCCGACCTAGCGGGACACGGCACGGTCATCTCTCCCGCGGGTAGCCCGGTTCCTTTTGTTAGAAATTTTAAAATTGTTTTTGGTTTTTTGTAACTTTCCTTGAGGAGCAAGTTGATCTACAATCTTCTGTCGCAAGATGATTCAAAACTTGGTCTTCAAGTTTTGCCAAGTCAAATTTGCTTAATAAAGAAGAAAACTTCACCGCCTTAGGAGTAGTATAAATAGGCATGTCCCCTCCCTATTTGTGTCAACGTGTAGAAAGCCTTAGAAATGAGAGAGAGTTGAGAGAAAAAGCTTGTAGAGCTAAGCTTGTATCTTCTCTGTATAAAGCCAATGCAAAAAGACATTTTGAATATTATTCTCTCTTATTTGTATATTCGTGTACTCCTCACCAAAATCTTCAAAGTTTCTCTATATCCTTTTTGGTTCCAACACCTTTATGTTCTTCATCACGTCCGACGTTATCAAAAAGAAAAAAAAAACATATAGAGCTTATTTCAATGTCAAAATCACGCTTCTAAGTGTAATAATTTAGAGTATGTACTCAGCCTATCATAAAAACTCGCAAAATGCTTTTCCTTGCTTGAGAATAAAAAACATCCATGCCCCTATCAAAGGGCCTGTCATGATTTCCCAAGACACTGCTTGTCACAGTGTAAGTTAAGTAGGAAATAAATAATAATGATACCGATCACAATTTTTTTTCATTTTGTTATTTTGTTACAAGAAAGCTCACCTTAAATAGATAAACCTCGTACGCATAAAACGCCATACCGTCTCCTCGTGATCCTGTTGAGATGGGAGCAAAAAAACACTAGTGATGGACGGCCTGAATATGAAATTGTTGCGCTTCGGCGAGTAGAGCCTATACTTGAGCGTCCAATCAACACGCAAAAATTTTGTCCTTTTCTTTAAAGACTAAAGCCAATGAGTGTTTTCTGGTTAAGCATCAATCCCCTGAGGTCAATTATCTATTTTTTAACATCACTTTCCACCGTGGCCACGGAATAATCTTTTTAAGATATCCCTTTTTAACTCGTAAGGTTATGCTCACAAATGAAACACAACTATATAGGTTGTGCATGGTGGATGCATCTAGGGTTTGGATAGTTTTTCCGTATCAAGCACGGATTAGTGAGGCCGTGATTGAGGAAACTATTGTTGCTAAGACTTCGTTTGTCTTGCGAAAAATAAATGGTTTGAAAAATATTTTCCTTGAAAAAGATCTCTTGTATTGCTTACGAAAATGAGCAAACGAAAAATATTTTCATCGTTCATGAACATATTTGGACGTATATTGTTGTCAATAGTGAAAATATTTTTCATTGACAGATTATTTCAAACGATACAAACAATCACTTTTGGGACATTATTTTTCAAATTATTCATTTTCGCAAAACAAATGGAGCCTAAGTATGAGTTGTAAGCTTAGTGAGATCGGAACTCACCAGATACAACATTGAACCAAGTTATGCTAGGACGAACTTTCAATTTACAAACTTGCAAGGGTCTGAAAAAGGCCAATGCTTGTAAGATCGGCCCAATGGGCCCATCGCCGTGGGCCTTTTGGGCCTCAATGTTCCTTTTCATATTTGTTTGTTTAAGCTCTTTCTTCCCCCACTTGTTACCATTAACGGGGTTGGATTTAGCATGAACCCGTTTATGACCTGAAGCGACACGTTTAAATTAACGTGTTAACATAGTTTTTATTTTAACACGACACGATTAGACACATTTTATTGCTACCAATACTAGCACAATCTATAGACCAAGTGAAATTTTTCCTAGTAATCGACGTTCTTTCAATCTCCAAATTATCATTTTGGCCGACTAAATTTAGAGGTGATCGGTTTCCTGGTCCTGGCCCGATCCGGTCACTTAGGATATAGTTCACATCTTACTAATTTTTATCAAATTTATCAATAAGGGGTTTGTCACATTTATTTATGTTAATGAAGTTCACATCTTACTAATTTTTATCAATGAATTTATGTCAATGAAGTTCACTTAGGGTTTAGTTCACATTTACTAATTTTGGTCCGTTTCTGTCTTGTTAATGCGGTCCGTCTTTCACACCCTTAACTAAATTAACCGAAAAAAAAAAAAACCGAGCAAGTAAGGGTCAACCTTTGTAAAAAGTAGTTGGACTATTTCGAACCAAAATGAAAAAAAATGAAGAAATGATTTTTAACTATCAAGTACAAAAGCACATGAGTCACCATTGGTACCAGTCCTTTTCCAATAACCCCACATTAGATGAAGAGGAGGAAATTAATTCAATACGAAATTTTTATCAGATGGAATAAGGTGCGCGAAGTATAAGTTTACAAACGTGATACTGCGTATATTCCGTTAGGTAGAAAGTCTTTAGTCTATTCGCCAAAACTTCTGAGATGTTTTTATAGGCGAAATTGCAAAGACTGATAGGCCGAAACTATTCTAATCTTTCCAGGTTCAGTGTTTTAGGGACGAGGGTAATAAAATTTTTATTTAGTGCAGGGTTTAGTCGACCCGAATTAAAGAAACTGCTACACCTCCCCATAAATATCTCCTTGGATCTCTTTTCAACGATGTTGGTAGAATACTAGGAATTGACCACTCAAGCCATCCAGCCCGGGTGCCTTTGAGGAGCCCAACTGGAAGGCTGCTTCTGTAATCTCCTATCCGTTAGGCAGGAAGTCGGGATTGAGATTTTTAGCCAAATTGAGACCCAGAAGGAAAAAAGAAAACAAAACCACAGGGAGCTTACTGGTATAAATGACATCTTATGGGGTCGAATGTGAGAATCCTGAAAGAACAGGGGGAGGGAAATGTAATTTACCAAGAGAACAGAGCTAGAGAAGTAGGAAAGGAGCATGCCGCTTTTTAATTGCAACCGACCAACCGCTAACACTTCAAAACGACAGCAGAGATGTCCCTGTCGAGTGTTTCTCCCCTTGCTTACTCTTTCGCTGAAAAGTTTCTAGTTTCAACTAACTGTCAATTCAACCTTCTTCAAGTTTCCCCTATATCTTCCTCGCCACATTCAACAATCCCGCACATGCTTGAGGGACAAAACTTGCCATCTTTGAGCAAGAGGCACATGGACTAGATTCAATTGCGGTCGTCGTATCTGGTTGATGGAACTGAGTTGTTGCAAACCGAAGCTTGTGAACAAGGACACGCAGTTGTGCAGTTGGGAGAACGAGGGGAGGAGCATGGCGGTCGTGAAAGACATGTCTAAAGTGGTTCCGCTGGAGGACCTGGCTGGCCGAGGGAGCAGACTCGATGCCCAGATGGGAGATCGACGCGTTTCTCTAGCCCATGAGGCAGTTGGCAAGGTCAGGGCAGAGGTCGATAAGTTGTCTGAGAAGGTTGGCAGGGCATGCATTGTCACTTTGTCAGGTTATGCATTTTTGTTGCTTCCTTTTGTTGAGTTGATTGATCGTGCGACTGCGATGCCTCTGTAGGTTGTCTCATTGGAGATGGATCTTCGTGGTGGAAGCTGGGTAGACGACAAGGAATTCGTTGCCTTGACAGAGTTGCTAATGGTGAAGTTGCTCGAATTGGACTCGATCGAGGCTGATGGAGAAGCAAGAGTTGAAAGGCGGATCGAGGTTGGTATTATTGTTTGATCAGACAATAGAAATAAGTAACATTAGATTAGATAGCGAACAGGAGAATTTCCGATTGGTATTCCTAATGCATATAGATTTGGGCATTCCATCAATCTAGGAAATAAACATGAAGATGTCTCTACCGAGATACCAGTATGATGGATGATAATTTCAAGCTTTTTCATCCTATAGACCATCCAAAACTCGATAAACACCACATGAACAACAGAAAAAAGAGAGAAGAATTTCTGTTACTACTTAGTTAAAGTTCAAAGAGAATTACGTCAACGCTGCGTGTTGATGATTTCGTGTTTGTAGGTATGTCGAGTACAGAGCATTGTGGAAATGCTCGACAATCTAAAGGCGAGAAACTCTGACCCCTTGAGCGGAACCAGAAATGCTACAGCAGCCGGCACCAAGAGCGAGCAGATCGAGTCACGAATCAGCATCGTAAATGCCGAAGGCAGCTTGCAATCTTCAACAAGAGTCACTCTGGACTGGGAATTGTTTGACTAAGTGAACTGATCGGTCGATATTTATCTACGTGCAAAGTGAAGAGAAAATTGAGCACAACATACCCAGGATTTAGATTATGCTTTTGGTCTCTAAAGTTGCCTCATCTTATCTTCCTAAATAGGGGCCGAGTCGCTTCCCTCCCGTCTGTATGTTCCGTTCACAAGAAAACGAAGCATCTTCCTTTTGTTTCGATCACTGAAATGCAGCTAAACATATATATTAACACATTTGCTTCTTCACACTAGGAAGGTCCTGGAGGGAATACAGGAATGACATTCCTGTTCCGTATTATCATGAAAATTCTGATTATAGCCCACTTTCTTAGATGCTTCTATCTTCTTCTCTTGATTTGGATGACCCATTAGTCGGCGACTAAATGCTTGATAGATTAAACTGCTGTTGCTCACTTGCTCGCATTTCGTAGATTAATTGATGTACTAAATGAATTCATTTCACTGATATTGTCGGTCTACCGTTGAGCCTAAGATCGGTTTATTCCAACAAAACGGAATCCCCAAAGGTCGGAGACTGAAAATAGGGAAATTCTGGGCAGAGGGACAGCGATCAGGACACGTTATAGTAGCTTAACAGTTCCTCACCGGTTGTTGAGACGTTTTGTGGTTGCACGAGACCTCAGCTGCTGCAGTTTCTGAGTGAAGCACTTGAAAACAAAGAAGGGATCGGGTAACAAGAACAAGACAACTTACCACAAAACATAGAGAATTACTTTCGGCCAAGAGAATATGTGGAGAATCACTTGCCAATTCATGAGTACATACTCATTGTTGCCAATCTTGAAACGACGAAAAAGGGCCTAATTGCTGGATGTCTATCAACTGCAACCGGTTGTTATGTGCCGTTCGAGGGCCAATCGGAAAGCGGAAGATACATACATAGATAAAAAGAAGGGTTAATACCACAAAAACCTCCAAACTGGTGCACCTGTGACAATTTTACCCTAAACTAATTTTTTGACCAACAAAAACCCCAAACTGGTACACTTGTGACAAAGTTACGCTCAGTTTGTTTCCGTTAAATTTTATTGTCAAATTGCTTTGTTAAATGATACGCGACAGTTAACTGATATACCAATTTTATGTTTTACCTCCATTTGTCAAAGGTGTACCGATTTGTAATTTTTTGTAGTATTAATTCAATTTAACGGAAACTAACAGATGGTAAATTTGTCACAAATGTACCAGTTTGGGGTTTTTAGTGGTCAAAATATTAGTTTGGGGTAAATTTATCACAGGTGTACTAGTTTGGAGTTTTTTGTGGTAAAAAAATAGTTTAGGGTAAAATTATCACAGTTGCATCAGTTTGGGGTTTTTCGTGATATTAATCCAAAAAAGAAACACAATTTTCTGATTTACGCAAGCAAGATGGATATAGCTAGGTTTCTTATTTTCTTTTTCTTTGGTTAAACATACCTACTCTATGCTTCTTGATTTGCTTGCCATAAATCAACCACGTATGAGGATTTTGTTCATGATCCAGCAGTTTTGGAAAATGATCAATTAGTGAATATGAAAAATCAAAGAATTAAGAAAATATGGATAACAATCAATCATTCCTCCCAGCCAGGGGCTTCAATTGAGCAAAGAGATATGAAATGGCAAAACACCATATATGTCTAGATAATAAAGGAAAAATTCCACATAAGACTCCGAAGTGGGGTCATTTTCTTAAAAAAAGGTCCAAAGTGGATCTTATTTCAGATGAGGGCATGAAGTGCCCAAATCAGTTTCAATTAAGGGCCCGATCTTGCTGGCCGGTCAAATGCTCACTAGCCGGCAAGCATGTGACTTTTCTGGGCGATAGGAAGAAGGGCACTTTTGTCCAAAGTTACTTTTTATAAAAGGAAAAAAACATTATTCGGAAAGTGAAAATCCCAAAATCGGTTCTTCTCTTCCCAACCCACTTTATGAACGAAGGATGAGGTTATGAATGGAGTGTTGCCTGAGCAAGGACTCGTGGGCACTCGCGGTGTGCAACCGAGCAGCGGGGGTGGCGGTTTTATTTTATTTTTTGGTCGAAGGGGCGGCGGTTGAAGGGCAAGGGATTTGAACGAAACTAAAGAAAAAAAACTCCTCCTACGGTTCACGCAAAACCTTCATCCCCCAGTTCAAAAATTGATACGATTGTGTCTTTCATTTTGCCTCCATGATTCCTGCTAAGGTTAGTTTTCCAAATTGGTTTACTCGAAACCCTAATTTTCCTAAATCCTATAATCTCTTTCAATCCCATGGATGTCAGTTTCCTAATTTGGTTTCAACTGTTATTTCCTTTGCCCAAGAGAAGGCGATGGCACTTGTTGAAGTAACATGTCGACAAGGCATGGGCATGTTGTGGAATGCGATAGTGATGGCAACAATGGCAGTGAGTTGCATTAATCAGGGGATAGGGTTCTTATAAATTTGTCTTTCAATAATTTAGAATATGTTTCGCTGAAGGGGTCTAGTTTGTGGCAAGCCAAGGAGAGATCAGACAACAAATATGCATGGAAGGAAAATGCTCAAATTGAATTCATTGACCACATGAAAAGCCACGGTTGCAGATGTTATTTAGGCAAATGAGCGGAGATGGCCTCCAGCAAGGTCTAATGATCTGCTTGAAATACAGGGTGCTTTGTGAGGGTTGATTGCCCCAAATTTTGGCTCTGTAAATAAAGTGGTATTTATTGGATCATCCAGTGGCTCTTTCACTGTAAAGCAGGCTTGGAAGCTAGTGAGGAAATGTGGGAATAAAGTGACTTGGCATAAGCTCACATGGTTTCGGCCTAATGTGCCAAAATATGGCTTTACAACTTGGCTGGGGATTCATCATAGGTTGCACACATTGGGCAGGATGAAAACTTGGTGTAGCATGGTAGCATTTGCGTGCTGTGCAGACAACAAGAAGAATCACGAATGTGCTTGCTCTTCAAGGGCGTGTTCTCAAAGCAGATTTGGGAATAAGTTTTGCAGCTATTTTCATGTTCTAGATCTGCAAGTGACTGGAAGGATGAACTTAGGGGTTAAGTGTCTGTGTAAAAAATTAATTGGGTTAAGACACTGCTGACTATAAGTGTTTGCGTAAAAATTGGCGAGTTCATGTTGACAAACTTTGCTGTAATCTGGTGACATGGTTTTGAGTTTGCATCTTGTTTTTTGGGTAGTATCTTGCTGTTGATACTGGTAGTGTAGATGTGGGACACTATAATGTAATGTTGTCCTTTGGAGTGTGGTGTCATTACATTGAAAGAGTATGGGTGGCACATAATGCTGGGCAAAAGTACACCACAAGTGTCATAACTTGTGTACGGCGATCACTTTGGTGCCAAGTCGGAGGAAAAGAGATCACTTTAGTGCCAATTTGGCCGGAAATCCGACGTGGCATTTTTTATTAATTTTTGACGCCGATGTGGCTTGCCGGAGGCTGAGTCAGCGTGTACAGTCAGCATTTTTAATTTTAAATATTTTTTTTTCTACTTTCCTTTTCTTTTTTTTCTTTTCTCCCCTCGCCGGCCGGTCGCCGGTGGCCGACCGGCCACCGGCGAAGCCCGGGAAGGGCTGGGCGAGGGCGGCCTTGCCCATGGCCGGCGAGGCGGCCGACCTCCGGCGACGGGCGAGGCCAGCCCGGGCGAGGGCTGCCCTCGCCCGACGCCCGACTCGAGCGAGGCGACCCTCGCCCACGTCGGGAGAGGGAAGCCCTCGCACGGGCGGGCGAGGGTCGCCGTCGCCCCGAGTCGGGCGTGGGCGACCCTCGCCCCATGCCGCCAAGGGTCGCCCTCGTCGGATCCGGCGAGGGCGACCCTCGCCGGCGTCGAGCGAGGGAAGCCCTCGCCCGGGCGAGTGAGGGTCGCCCTCGCCCGAGTCGGGCGTGGGCGACCCTCGCCCGACGCCGGCGAGGGTCGCCCCGCCTGGGCCGGCGAGGGCCGGCCTCGCCTGTCGCTAGCGAGGGTCGGCTGCCCCTCGCCGGCCATGGGCAAGGTCGCCCTCGCCCAGCCCTTCCTGGGCTTCGCCGGTGGCCGGCCATCGGCCGACGAGGGGAGAAAAGAAAAAAAAGAAAAGAAAAGAAAAAGGAAAGAAGAAAAAAAAAGGAAAAAAATATTTAAAATTAAAAATGTTGACTGTATACGCTAAAAAAAATTATTTAAAATTAAAATGCTAACTGTACACGCTGACTCAGCCTCCGGCGAGCCACGTCGACGTAAAAAATTAATAAAAAATGCCACATCGGATTTCCGGCCAAATTGGCACTAAAGTGATCTCTTTTTCTCCGACTTGGCACCAAAGTGATCCGAAAAAAAGTTATGGCACCAAAGTGATCGCCGTACACAAGTTATGGCACTTGTGGTGTACTTTTGCCCATAATGCTGTAATTGACTTGTTTGGGATGTAGTCCTCCTATGTTCTTTTCCTCGGCTTCTGCAATAAAAGGTCTATGAATATATCTAATATCTCAAGTTATATGTGTCTACTTTACTTTCAACTATGGCAAGGATTCCAATTCCTTGATTTTGGATCAGCCATTACGTCATTGATGATACTGTGCATCAGATTCAACAACAAACTTATCCCATTTGTTGGCTTGGGCAAGTTTCGTACCCTGATGAACAGCATGAGTTTGAGCAATTTTTGCACTTGTGGCCTGGAATGTCTTACCCAAACCTCCAATAAGTTCCATTGCTATTTCAAGGTATTACCTCAACAGCTGCTTCAGCATCCTGAGACGAATTCTCCATCATAAATTACACTTGAAGAAGGAGCCTCTCATCCACATTGCACATCTTTAGGACTTCTTATCTTTCTCTTATACAAATTGTTACAGGTTGTAACTGCATCAAAACAGTTTCCATAAGAACATTCATGGGAAGTGGTACAATATAAGTGCTTCAAATGACGTCTAAAAACCTCTCTTCCATTAGAACTTGTATGATTACAACACAAAAAACCAACTGGTCATTACCAACCAAGCTGGTATATGGTTCATAGAACTGAAAAAAGAGGAAATTAGAACCAACGTGGATGATTGCAACTGAAAAAAACTAACCGGACATTATCATCCACGTTGGTGCGTGGTTCAAACAATAGAAAAATGGAAAAACAAACATTATCTATATGCTACAAAGAGATTGAAAAATGGAAAACCAAACATTAAAGTATCAGCATACTCCATCTTGGAATCGTCAGTAACAGCATTTCACAAGAACCAGCTCTCTAACACTTGCTAACAAACATCATCTGAGAACTGAGTGATTTTACAAAGTGAAATCTTCGCAAAAAGCTTCACCAAATAAACGCGATTAAAAAACACTGAACGAATCAAGCAGTAACAAATTGACTTCATTAACTGAATCAAACTTTATGTGATTTGAGCACGACAAACCCCAGAATTTTCCCCAAATGTGACTTCACCGCCGTAACTTCGAACAAATCGAGCTTCAGAGCTTTATTCTGAATTACTGAAAGATTAATTCAAAAGAACCCTATCCCCAAATTAATGCAACTCACTACCATCTCCATCGCTGCCATTGCTATTGTATTACACGCCATGCCCACGCCTTGTCGACATGTCACTTCAACAAGTGCAATTGCCTTCTCTTGGGCGAAGGAATACCAATTGAACCTATTTAGGAAACTGACATCCATGGAAACAAAAGAAATTAGAGGATTTAGGAAAATTAGGGTTTCGAATCATAGCTCCAATTTGGGAAACTAACCTTGGCGGAATCACTGAGGCAAAATGAAAGACACAATTGTAACAATTTTTAAATTGGAGGGTGAAGGCTTTGCGAGAACCACAGGATGAGTTTTTTCTTTTAGTTTTTTTCAAATCCCTCACCCTTCAACTGCCGCTGCCACCTGGTCACATGCCTCCGTGGCTTGTTCGCACGCTGCCGCTTGGTTGCACGCCGCCGCCTGGTCACATGCCACCAGTGGCTACTGGTCCTCGCTTAGGCAACACTCCGTTCAGAACCTCAACCTTCGTTCACAAAGTGGGTTGGGAAGAAAAGAACCAATTTTGGGATTTTTACTTTAAGAAATCGGGCTTTTCTTTTTATGCAAATTTTTTTGGGAGAAAAATGCCATTGTTCCGGTTGCCGGAAAAGTCACATGCTTGCCGGCCGGCAAGATCAAACCCTTACTTGATACTGATTTGGGCACTTCGAGAAGGATTAAATTGGAATTTTGTGCAAAACTTCAGGATTAAATTGGTAAAATTAGAAAGTTTAAAATTGAATTGACATCTGTACAATAGGTTTAAAACTTATTGGATAATTTTCCCATAGAATCTCAAGGCACACAAAACTTGAGCAAATGGTTCAACAGGAATAAACATATAAATAAGCCACGAAGTTTTTAAGCTCCAAATTGTCTTACTTAAGCTTACATACTGAAAACTAAATCAAGCAAAAGATGTAAAGACATAAGGGTTTCAGCCCTTTTAACAATAGCTTAATTAACTCAAAGCATCTTAATCATATAGCCTATATATACTTATAGATCGGACGTCCCGGTGGTCCATGTCCACGAATTTTGCATTTACCATGCTGCTCTTCAGGAGCTCTTCATAGTTTTGCTGTTGTTTCACATACACCCCTTTAGCTTGTCCATCTCTTTCTTCAGTTGCACATGTTCAGCTGCATCAAATATCAGTCGATTAAATTCTTGATTTCTCCTTGAAAATGTGTGCGCGGAGAGAGAGAAAGAGAGAACCTTTTTTGAATTCGATTTCATGAGAAAAGAAACTAATTTTTTGCTTTAATAAGCCATTCTCGACATGGAACGAATGGCGTTGTTGTGTCAAATAGCACATCATCGCGGAGTTCCATTGTACGCCAGCCTATATACGTCAAACAGGAAAATTTCAAAATCATTGGATGCTTGTCATCTTAACCACATCAAATGCCAAATCTCGAAAGTGCACTAAAGTGGAATATAAATTGGAGGAAGAATTAAATTGATTGCTAACTTCAAGAGACTGCACTGTCCATTCCAGTTGCCTTATCCGACAAGTTTGTTTGAAACGATAGGTTTGAGCGTATTGCCTGCTTGCCAACCTCCCGAAAGACACAAATACAAAAGAAAATTGAAAAAAAAAGTCATGACTTTAGATACATAAATATTAGAATCCAAGAGAAGGAAAAATCTAATTTCTCTCGACCATCTTTACCATTTGTTCTTTTTTTTTTTTTTGCCCATTTTTCACCAAGCACTTTCAAATGAAATGTCTAGGTCATGAAAATGGGCATAGTCGTCCATGCCTACAATTTCGAAATGCGTTTGAAGGGTTATAACTTTATAAGCACCTCTTAAGCTTTTGAGGGTCAATGCTAGGGTTTGAAGAGCTTTGTCCTTTCATTATATGGCTTGTTGGAGGCAATGGAGGCATCCCTGGAGCCATGGTTCTCTTGTTCTTGTTGTTGAAGTTGTTGAAACTTTCCATTTATCACTTCAATGAAAAGATTGGCTATAACACATGAACAATAAGTTAGCACAGGATCATTGAAGTCTCAAAATCAAAATCATTCTCTAAAAAGATCAAAATAAAGCAACAAACTAGTTAACCAGAGATATTGGGATTTGTTTATTTACTCGCACTGATTAAGAAAATTGAAGAAGAGAGAAATAAAAGTAGTGAGTTTTTGAAATGACTTCAGCCTCTTATTTATAGGAGAGACTAATAGGCCCATCTCCCTTGTCTTTTCCAATACCTACATGAATTATTTATGATTCAATTTCATTTTCGGGAAAAAGGCAAAGCCTTCTGAGAATCCCTAAAATAACCCTGAACGACAACATTGAATTCTTGGTCACTTTCGTCTTTATAACATGGCCAAAATTGGCATGCATGCTGTCAAAATTAAAGTTCTTTGAGGGACGACAAGCATTAATAATGTGTATTAGAAGGCTGAGCCTAGAAGGGAAATTTACGAGAAAGTCATTTTGGGAAATATCCATGAGGAAACTTCCTCTTTTGCGGTCTGAACTTAAAATTAGGAGCTTTAAAAATGTGCATCCTTATTACTTCCATTCTATTGCAGTATGCAATAGAAGGGAAAGAACATGGAGTTCAATAATTAACA